CTGTTAGTGGGGATGTGTACATACTCAGCATAAATTTCTTTTGAGTGTTTCGTAGCCCTTAAAAAAAAAACAACTTGTCAAGAAAGCTACCTCAAACGAGTTGAAGAGAGAACATAACAACCTTAGACACCTCATCAGTCAGCGGGTCAGTTGCCACGATGTAGAAAAATTGCCTGCATGGTTAACAAGTATTCAACTTACCTATTTCGGCTTGAGCTGGCACTACTGTTAGCAATGTAAGAAGGCCCAAAACCAAAGCCAGAAGTGACATGATGATGCGGCTATAATATTGTGGATCCTCTGTTCTTCGGGCATGAAATAGAATTTTGTCTTCAAAACCAAACTTGTTTTGAGCAAAGGTTTACCGACCTAGCCTGTTTATATATTGTTTGTAATTATTATTTGCCACTGAGTAAAAACATTGTCTAGTCTATGTGTCACTTTAATGACAAGCGTCACAAAGCCATTAGATTGTTAAGTAAACGAAATGTAACTTTGCCTATTATTAATATTGCAGGAGACCTAAAAACAATTAAAGAATTAAATCAAAACTTTAATTTGACCAATATAAGTTGAAGAAAAGCTCAGCCGGTTTCCAATATCGGTTAAATTGCTTTAAAGATGATTCTTCTAAACAATTAAATCTTAGGCTCAGGTGTCATTACATGTACTTTACCTCACAGTTTTCTTGTTAAGGTTTCTTTTAAAGCCAATAATCGAAAAGGAACCCTGCTCACTGAGCGTAAAGTGACCTTGCAGCTCCTTTCTATTGGTCCCAAAAACTATTTTGTATAATCATGTTCTCACTGAAGGAGGTGTTTAAACCCACCATTCCCCCAAAAATAAAGGTGCGCTTTTAATCAAGAGAAATAGCTCATTCTCTCTTGGTTTTAATTTATTGCCGTCACGCATGATTTTTTGTGCCCAATAACATATCACGAGCTCNACCTAGCCTGTTTATATATTGTTTGTAATTATTATTTGCCACTGAGTAAAAACATTGTCTAGTCTATGTGTCACTTTAATGACAAGCGTCACAAAGCCATTAGATTGTTAAGTAAACGAAATGTAACTTTGCCTATTATTAATATTGCAGGAGACCTAAAAACAATTAAAGAATTAAATCAAAACTTTAATTTGACCAATATAAGTTGAAGAAAAGCTCAGCCGGTTTCCAATATCGGTTAAATTGCTTTAAAGATGATTCTTCTAAACAATTAAATCTTAGGCTCAGGTGTCATTACATGTACTTTACCTCACAGTTTTCTTGTTAAGGTTTCTTTTAAAGCCAATAATCGAAAAGGAACCCTGCTCACTGAGCGTAAAGTGACCTTGCAGCTCCTTTCTATTGGTCCCAAAAACTATTTTGTATAATCATGTTCTCACTGAAGGAGGTGTTTAAACCCACCATTCCCCCAAAAATAAAGGTGCGCTTTTAATCAAGAGAAATAGCTCATTCTCTCTTGGTTTTAATTTATTGCCGTCACGCATGATTTTTTGTGCCCAATAACATATCACGAGCTCTAGGATATTTTGGTATTTCTTTAATCTTTCTTTTATTTGTTGCTGTTTTTTGGATCTGTTTTAGAGGCCAAGACCCATTTTTGTTTGCCTGCCGTCGCAGACGCTCTAAATATAAAAGTGGTTTAGACGAGTACGTGGGTCGGCTGCAACACAGGCTAATTTTTGTCCAACCAAGATGTCTCTCGTTTGCAGATAATTGGCTGAGATTACAGTGTGTGGTTGTGGTCAATGCGAATCCTGTCAGCGGGAATGACGCGAAACTAGAGGATTATGTCAGTAGTGTCCTTTTAAAAATTTCTGCTCAATTTCAGATCAAAAATATTCGATTTTCGCGACACTTTCAAGACCTGACCCAGCAATTAGATACTCATCTTTCATATCAACCGGCATCAGCCTCGTACCCAGGCCTGTTCGTGCTATCCGAGTTACCAGAGGAGGCTTAGAACCGAACGCGACAAACCTGACGGTAACGTACTTTCCCAACAGCACTGAGCTTTATTAATTAGGTAAAGATATAGAATGTCATAAAAAGGAAGTTTACATTCATCCAATTAGTTTCATTAGGAAATTTAAGGAAAGTCAAAAAATTTAACGAGTAAAACATTACCCTCCAGCTGTATCTTGACCAAGCTTTGAACAGCTCGGCCGGAAGATCAACGAAAATCATGTTTTGTCGGTCAGCGATGGTACTGTTTCCTATATTTCAGTCATCAGTTCTAGAACACTACCCAGGCTGAAGAGAAAGGCACGTTTGTCTTCCCTAAAAGGATAAAAAAAATAACTTCCTCTCTAGCTTTTGGCAATGCTACATTATTGATTATCGTTGATTGGAGAAAAGCGAAAAGAAATTAGCTGAAAAATCCGAAAAGCTCTGAAACAGTTCCGGCCTTTAGCTCTCACTAGCGTATCTCACTAATCATTTGTTCACTCGCTCAGTTTCTGGTAACAAGAAATTTGTGAGGCTCTTTGTCTGATTTAGACCGCGTTATGTTTCTCTACACTCGTTTTGTTATTTTACTTATCATCTCTTGCAGTTTGTTAACAACCAGGTGAGTGAAAGTTGTATTTAAGAGTTTTTCCAAGGCCTGTAGTTCCTAAAACGTCTCAAACGTGCTGACACTCGTGTCCCTTATCCCCTAAAAACATACCCCTTTGAAAGTCGTTTTAGCCCAGCTTGATGAAATTCAGTTCAGCTGATTTAAACCAATAATGATTTTTTACGCTTGCGTTTTGCCACTTTGGTTTCACATTCTGCAGTTTGTCAACAACCAAGAGAGATAAACTCTTCTTAACTCTGCTGCTCACTAGATCTGCTCGTGTTTGAGCGCCTCAGTTTTGTTTATATGAGAAGATGTAAAGGTGACTCGGGAAAAAAATCTGAGGACCCTAATAAAGGGACTCGAACCTATGAACCTGTGATCACTAGTCCGGATTCTCTACCACTGAGCTACATGTGACAAACATCCTGCATATCGACTAGGAGTAGAATTTCCCAAAGGGGAATGGCGAATTTTTAATCCTGGTAAAAATGTGGGAATCATATTTTATCGGTCAGCGATGGAACTGTTTCCTATATTTTAGTCATCAATTCTAGAACACTACCCAGGCTGAAGAGAAAGGCATGTTTGTCTTCCCTAAAAGGATAAAAAATAATCGTTGATTGAAAAGCGAAAAGAAATTAGCTGAAAAGTCTAAAACGCTCTGAAACAGTTCACATTTAGCCCTTACGAACGTATCTCATTAATCATTTGTTCACTCGCTCAGTTCTAGTGACAAGAAATTTGTGAGGCTCTTTGTCTGATTTAGACCGCGTTATGTTTTCCTACACTCGTTTTGCTATCTTATTTATCATCTCTTGCAGTTTGCTAACAACCAGGTGAGTGAAACTTATATTTAAGAGTTTTTCTCAAGGTCTGTAGTTCCTAAAACGTCTCAAACGTGCTGACACTCGTGTCCTTTATCCCCTAAAAACATACCCCTTTTAAAGTCATTTCTTTTTCTTGGCTTAGCTTGATGACATTCAGTTCGGCTGATTTAAACCAATAATAATTCTTCACGCTTGTGTTTTGCCACTTTGGTTTCAATATTCTGCAGTTTGTCAACAACCAAGAGAGATAAACTGTTCTTAACTCTGCTGCTCACTAGATCCGCTCGTGTTTGAGCACCTCAGTTTTGTTTATATGAGAAAATGTAAAGGCGACTCAGGAAAAAAATCTGAGGACCATAATAAAGGGACTCGAACCTATGAACCTTTGATCACTAGTCCGCGGGATTCTCTACCACTGAGCTACATGTGACAAACATCCTGCATATCGACTAGGACTAGAATTTCCCAAGGGGGAATGGCGAATTTTTAAGCCTGGTAAAAATGTGAGAATCATATTTTATCGTTCAGCGATGGAACTGTTTCCCATATTTCAGCCATCAATTCTAGAGCACTACTCAGCTGAAGAGAAACACATGTTTGTCTTCCCTAAAGGATAAAAAATAACTTCCTCTCTAGCTTTTGGCAATGCTACATTATTGATTATCGTTGATTGGAGAAAAGCGAAAAGAAATTAGCTGAAAAGTCTAAAACGCTCTGAAACAGTTCACTTTTAGCCCTTACGAACGTATCATATTAATCACTTCTTCACTCGCCCAGTTTCTGGTAACAGGAAATTTGTGGGGCTCTTTGTCTGATATAGACCGCGTTATGTTTCTCTACACTCGTTTTGCTATTTTATTTATCATCTTTTGCAGTTTGTTAACAACCAGGTGAGATATATTCAAGATTTTTTCCCAAAGTTTGTTGTTTCTTATGCAAAGTGTGACTGACTGTCTTTCGAAGTAGTAACAAAGCCAAGTAGAGTTGTTATGAAGTTCGCACCACCTTCGCTCAGGACCTCCAAAGAAAATTCTTAAATTCATTTCACAGCAATTACAGATAAAGCATACTTAATCTGTAACGTTCTAGTAACAAAGCTCGGCGGTTTAAGACGAGAGGTGTTCAGGGGAGCGGGAATCAAGGAAGCCTCGTTGTATTTATCTTCTCAGCTGAAACTAATAGAAGACTGAGCCAGTGTGCTGGTAAGCCACTCGCTTTTCGGTTTTAGCCACATTTTAGCCACCGAATTTATTCATACCAAAAAGTAAGAATTTTGGGGGAGGTCTAACCGCTTAGTTTTGTAAAAAGGCTATGAATATATAAAAGATATTACCTGGCCTTTGGAGATACATAATAAAAGAAATTCACGTAGTTAAAGATAACATGTTTCTTCACGCCGGCGTAAGAAGATATTATGCCCAGCTGGTATTTCATTTGTGTTTAGTTAGGAAAAGTTCATCATCCTTACTTACCGAGTCGTAACTTCCAAAATATTTTCATTCAAAACTTGAACTGGGTTTTTACACGCGTCGCGCGACCACACCCAAAAACAGTTTCTAAATGACTTCGACACAAAAACAAGTCGGGAATGTATTAACAAGGTTTTAAAATGTTTTGTTATAGCGGACATCACCTAGGGGCATCGTCATTAGGATTATCCATACAAAATCCTGCCTTGAATTGTAAAGATCTGAAAAACAAAAAACCATCAGTTGCATCAGGAGTCTACTGGATTGACCCGGATGGTAGTTACCATGGGAACGCTTTTGAGGCCTACTGCGACCAAAAAACGGACGGGGGAGGCTGGACACTAGTTTGGAGTTACACTTTCACAGATTACTCAAGCTTTGCAAGTAGCAAAAACGCAGTCACCCCTCGTCCTACCTGGACAGCCAGCAATGCTAACACTCGGGTATCTACAACAGTTCCACTCAGCGAGACCCACTATGAAGCCATGGACTTTGCTTTGTGGCGCACCATTGGTAACCAGGTCTTAATCAAAAGTAACATCAACAACTGGATCGTTTGCAAGGAAGGCAGTGGCAGCATAGTGAGACAAAAGGCCGGGTCACTCAGCTGTAAACTGGTTAAACAGGTTTCACAGCAGTGTGCTGGGGTTGTACCAACATCCTTTCATTTAGACAGTTACGGGCCTTATCTTTCCACCAGCAGTCTCTACTTTTACTTTGAAGGTGGTACAGGCGGCGGCTGGCCCACACATGACCCATGTGGTAAAAACCTACAAAATCAGTTAAAAAGCGTTGCCAATCCACATGGAAATATTTTTGTTCGTTAAAAAGCCAACTATTTTCTCTTGCTTGTTCCACTTGATTAGAAATTGAAGCTGGAGTGAACTGCATGGGAAGACTATTATGCCGGCCAGATTTATAAGCTTTTTGCAAAATTTAATCGAAGTGTAATATATGTCTTTTTTACTCAGTATTCCAGTTATTTTTTATCGATCTGGTCACTGAACTTATTGGTTTATAGTCGTAGATTTGTTTTCTTGGGCCATTTTATCCGATATGTTGAAGAAAAGTTTAGCGATGTTGTAAGGGGGTTGATTTTCAAGGTGAATCCAAACTTTGAAAATATTCATTGTTATTTGTAACTTGAGAGATAACCTACCAAGTTCATTTCTCGATTTAACATTTGGTGAACGTTTGTTTAACCTAAACACATCTTACAAGAATGTATATGTGTTTTCTCAATGGAGTCTTTTACCCCGCTACCATCACATTTATTTATAGATTCCCCATGACTACGGGAGCAATAAGTTAAAACTGGAAAAAATGGTATATTGAACAGTTTGTTGATGATGTAAATTAGTAATTTTAGAAAATCAAGATAACGACGCGACTGAGGCAAAAAAGGATATATAGCTGCCATATAGTTGGCTGAGATTTGAGTAGGAGAGTCCTGTCGCATGTTTACATTAGCGAAATATAGAAGAATACTGTATCATGACACAGTATCATGACACAGTATTAAAAAACAGCTGTTTACTTTTGAACGGATTTTCCAATTCGATTGCATAACAGGGAATTGCCTGCATACCTACCTACAAAGTTACAGGATGCTAGTAAAGGACAGAGAAGAACAGGAAGTAAGAAGCAACAATCCTCTACGGACAGTACTCCCTGAAGGCTTGGGTGGAACACTCTCGAAAGGAATCAGGTGGAGGCGTGCGCTTGCTCCTTGCAAGCCTTTCACCATTTCAGACCAAAATGTTCGATTTCCCATTCCCTGCCCTATCGAACCTGACGTAAAAGAATTAGATACTCCTATTTCAAACAAGCCGTTCAGTTTATTTTGTAACACGTACACTGTACTCTGATAAGTGATATCCAGCTGATTCTAGTGAGACGCCGCTTCCGTTTGACCCAACTTCCTGACGTTTATCTTCTTTGAAAACCGAAGATAGATTTAACCCTTAAAGTCCCAGTGGTGACCAACATCAATTTTCTCCTGTAAAGATATACTCCAGACCCCAGTTTTAATGGGTTCTAGACTGTGCATGTATACTCTACCATATCTACGATAGAGTACGACAAATAAAATATGTTCTACTTATTGTCAGACCAAAGAAATAAAAAAGGTCGAAAAAAACATACCTTGGACGTCAAACATTCCTACACAAGTTAATAATGATACTGACCTTTTTAACCTTCGTGGGCCTCTGCCAGCTTAGCTTCCCTGATTGGACAAAAACCAAAAATCTGTCCACTGAAACGCGCTGAAACTCCTCCCTTTTGCAGTAAAAACATTAGCTACCTACTTTATTGTCTTTAGTTAGTGCCTATGAGTTGCTGACGAAAGCGGAGTGGCATTGTTGGTTGGCCTTGTGCAAACTCGAAAATGTTTTGCTATGCTCGTTTGCCCAGTTTGTTAATCGTTTTCTGTGTTTTCTTCATAGCCAGGTAAGGCAGTGTTTAATTCTTAACGTTGCTCCGGTGAAGGTCTGTGCTTTTCGCAATGCTCAGCTAGGGTTTCCCCGTTTTTAAAAGTTCGCCCGAATCTCATGCAAACATTTTTCATGTTATTTCAATAGTTAAAATGAGACAGACGTCATACGATTTGGAATTGAGAGCTTAGTTATCTATAATCACGTTTAAACTTCTCGCTTCAATCTGGGTAACTGGGGGGTATTGTTCTTTGTGACTCGCCAAGCAAATCAACGCAATTGGGTTCATGAATCATGTCGGGTCAGATGTTGGTATTGGATTACAACCTAGTCACCAGTGCTTTTTCTTTTGAAAACGGGAGGGGCAGGAAAGCCCTGGGACGAGGTTGATCAGATTCCTTAGCACTGTGATGCGGGTACAGTTGGCTCCCGATAACTCGAACCTCGCGCTAACTCGAACCAAACTCGATTTCCCTTGGATTTCCTTCATACATTTACTGTAACTCGAACCCTCGATAACTCGAACCTCCCGCTAACTCGAAATTATTTTTGTTTAGCGCAGTACTGATTAATCATGCTTTGTTGCTTATTTTCTCCGTGTTCAAAATATCAACATATCTCTTGATGCCCTTGAAGTGATCGTGCATGATACTTGTATTGCTCCCCTATCCGGATCCCATTTCTTTTCTTCTTGTTACATGCTTCGAACCTCGAACTGTTTTCTATTTCCCTTGAAGGTTCGATCGAGTTATCGGGAGTCGATTGTACTTATTCTTCCAAGTCAAGAAAGGATAATAGGACAAAGAGATAGCCCTCAGAGCGTTGGCTAGCGTACGTGAATTTCACGCTGTTTTTGGAAATTAGGAAGTAGGCTGGCAGAGAAGTCTGAAAGCTGTCACTTTTGAAAAAAAAACGTCCTGACTGCATAAATGCAGCCGAATTAGCCAAAGAATCCTAAAGATCCTTAGTAAAGGCAACACAATAGAACCGTACGGAAAGTTATTGACTGGAAGTGCTCTTGATAACGTGAAAGTCTTTTATTAGTAGCTAGACCAATAGTTACTTCGACCATATCACATTTCAATTCAAAGTACTTGAAGCCAGCGAACAACCACCCTTCCCCCCCCCCCCCCCCCCCACACAACCTCCCCCCCCCCATCCTTCTTTCTTTTCCGGGGGGGGCGGGGAGTGAAAGGGAAGAAAGAAGAGAATCTTCGCTTTTTTTTCCTCATTTTCCTTTCCCCGTCTCCTGCTGCCCCGCCCCACTTTCTCCCACTTTTNCTCTCCCTTTTCTTACCTCATTCGCTTTCCCCGAGTCGAGCCCAGAGCCCTCTCTTGTTCCAGTTTTAATTGGCGCAAATAGCACGTCAAATCGAGGTATCTGATGATAAAACCCTGTTTTGTCCTTTTAGAGCACTGGATCAAGAAAGGCACAAAGTTCTGGAAATTGATTCAAAAGGGAATCTTTATCTTTACCGGTCAGCTTTGCTTTGCAAGAATGAAATAATCAAAAGGTTAACTGAAGACAACTTCAAACTGGTTGATCCGAGCACTATTGGTAAAGTACAGAGTTTTACATTTTAAAGCCAAAACAGCGGAGTTACTTCCCTCGCTCTTCTTACAACCCTCTTTACTCCCTTCCTCTAAACAATAGGGCCATTTATACGAGGAAAAATAAGACGTGTCTTACATAAGACGCGTCTTAAATAAGACGCAAACTGTACCATTTATACGAGCATGTCTTATCTAATAAGACGCGTCTTAGCTAAGCCGCGTCTTATTTTAGACGAAATGTGCCGTTTATACGGAAAGTTCGCGTCTTATGTAAGACGCGTCTTATTTTTCCCCGTATAAATGGCCCTATTGTTCACTTACCCCTCTCTTAGACATGCCACGAGATAAAAACAGAGGAATGCCCACAGGTTTATGAACGATTTGTTTTAGGGAATTAAGCGTTAATACAATATCCTCCAGCGTACGTTGGCCGCGAGATTGGCCATATAATCAAAAGTCGATTTAGAGGTACTAAAGTGAAGATTCAAACTTAAAAAGTCCAATTTCGCAAATTTTTAAGTGAGATGTCAAGATGAAAATTTAGTTGAGTGTTTTGGAATTCACAGAGTTTTCAAAATCTCACTTCTCACTATTTTGGTTAGAAAAATCTTTTCCCCAGCCTCTCGTCTTTACAACTCGTTATCTGATCACAATATTCGGGTTTCACAGGGCAGTCCAAAGCATTACCTGTGTTAAACTGTTGGGATCTTAAACTAAAAGTACCCTCGGCTGCCTCAGGAGTCTACTGGATTGATCCGGATGGTGGTTCCCATGGAAACGCTTTCCAGGCCTACTGCGACCAACAGACCGATGGAGGGGGCTGGACACTAGTTTGGAGTTATACCTTCACGGATTACAAAAATTTTAACAGTGGCTCAAACGCAGTCGCCCCTCGTCCCACCTGGACAGCCAGTGGTGCTAATACTCGGGTATCCACAACAGTTCCACTAAGCGAGACCCACTATGAAGCCATGGACTTTACTTTGTGGCGCACCATTGGTAACCAGACTCTGATTAAAAGTAACATCAACAACTGGATCGTTTGTAAGGAGGGCAGTGGTAGCATAGTGAGACAGAAGGCCGGGTCACTCAGCTGTAAACTGGTTAAACAGGTTTCACAGCAATGTGCTGGGGTTGTACCAACATCCTTTGTGTTAGGCGGTTACGGACCTTACCTGTCCAGTACCAGTCTGTACTACTATTTTGACGGTCATACAAGCGGTAATTTTCCCACACATGATCCATGTGGTACAAACAAAGCAAATCAGTTATCAGGTGTAGCTAATCCACATGGTAATATCTTTATTCGTTAATTTCAGTCGTTTTATACTCAATCTATTTCTTTTGCTCCACCTGGTTAAAATGAGATAAAAGTTACAAAAAAGACTTATCGCCAATTATATAATCTTTCGCAGATAAAAAAATAGTGCTCTTCGCAGACAGAACCATTATCAACTTTCCTTGTCAGGCCATGCACTTTAAAACTTGCTTACTTAACCTCGCAGTTTTCGTATGAAGTGTCTTTCTTGTTCTCAATTTTCTTCTAACGCCGCTCTCTGAGTGTAATTAAAGTGACCTTGCAGTTCATTTCTTTTGGTCCCCAAAACTATTTTTTATAATCATGTTCCTCAAATGAAGGAGGAGTTTTTAAAAGCAAAGTCACAATTCCAACAACAATGTAGGTGCGATCTAAATTTATTCCCGTACGGATAATTTTTTCTGCTTCAAAAAACCTACCACGTCCTCTGAAATACAGGATTTTTTCTCTCTTTAATCCTTTGACCCTTTTTTCTGTATTTTACTGCTGGTTCAGATCTTTTAAGAGGCCGAGGCACAGTTTTCTCCACCCAGATCTCACTTATTTGCAGATTATTGACCAGGGGCGGATCTAGGGGGAGGGTGCAGGGGGTGCGCACCCCCCCCCCCTGAGATGACCTGCGGTTTTCTAATGCAACTGGTATTCTGCAAAAAAAAGACTATGTGGTTTATTGGTGTTGAAGTAGAGAAAGAGACGAGTGCACCCCCTCCTAAAAAAAATCCTGGATCCGCCCCTGTTGACTGAGATCCGGATGCGATATTACGGCATTGTCTGGTGATGTGGTCAATATATGACCCCTGTCTGCGCGATCAATGCCAATAGTCTACCAAGAGAGAATGATCTAGCTCATTCTCTCTTGGGTCTACTCAATATCAGACCAAAAGAAGCGATTTTCGCGACTCTTTATCAGTCTTGATCCAAAATTAGAAGCTCCTCATCATAACAGCCGGTGCAACACGTAGAGAAAATTGATGATATATGACATCCACACACGAACTGATGCCGTTTGGCGTTTAAAATCTGCCAACTGGGATGTACATTCTCGATTTTATATTTTAATCCTCTTAAACTGCGAAAAATAGGCGGTTGCGTCAACTTAAAACTATACCAACTCCGCACCCGGGTTGCAAACTGAGTCATTTTCGCCCTACCTCAACGCATGCATGAAGCCCGGGGGGGTACCCCCGAGAATTTTGAATAGGGGTGTGTCGCGAAGGTTCGTGAACCCTTACCCTATTTAAGGACTAAGAAAGCGAAAACTGATACCCTTTTTGAGGCCCAAAGCCGAAAAATGACACCCTATTCAAGGAAAAAACAAAATTATTAATAGCATGAAAAGGAAAACTTTATTTCTTCTCTGTAACATTGGATGTATAGTATCAAGCATAAAATACTAGAATAAGCCTAGTTAAATAATATGCAATCATAGCCATGGTACATCTTTCAATACTGTTTTCACACTGCAGTATTAGATAATGCAATTAAGCTACCCTATCTAAGGACCACACTAGGGACACAGAAACAAAAGGGTCAAAAAAGATACCCTATTTAAGGACCGAGAACCTCAAAAACCATACCCTATTCCGCGGCACGTACCTATATAGCGCGTATATGATTGTCACACCGAGAAATAAAAAAAAAAAAAAAAACTCCCCCTCATAAGACACCCACCGGCAAAAAAAAAAAAAAAGGGAAAAAAAAAATCCCCTATTAAAGGACCCAAACCCCCAAAACTCACCCCCCTTTCCCGGGGCCCAACCCAAATAGCGGGTATATGGGGGGCCCCCCCCCCCCCCCCCCCCGGGGCATGAAGTCAGACCAAACGGATTGAGAAGGACTTAAAAGCGGCATACTGAACCTTGGGCACCGGACATTTCTATATAGCTTAAAATGAACCAAGGTAGCTCTTATTCATGACATTAGTATCGCTATTGTTTCATCCTTTGCCTGTCGCTGCTTGCTCGCTATATTTTAAAAACGGGACCATAAACCCCAGGGGCTGCCATATGGGGGTAATGAGTATGTGTCGCTGAGAAAAGGGTTATTTTAAGCACTTGCCTCGCAAACTCAGTATGAGAGTAAATCCTTATTGCGTAATCCTTAAAATGGCTGTGAACAAAAAAGATTTGTATGGGGGTTCAGGTAAAAGATCCAAGAAGATAAATACTCGCTAGAACTTTCAATAAAATACACCTTACCTTATTTACATTGCTTGTCTTTGCTTGCTGTGCGGTTATTTTCCCGATCCATTGCGATTTAAGAGATTTCCTTTAACCCCGAGTTTGCACTCTAAGAGAAAGGACCTTTCAATTGGAGATATAGGGAACGGAATAGGGTTGCAAAATTGCAATTGTAAAGCTCTAGTTCCGGCTAACTGTTCCAGGGTAAGAGTGGTACACACCCACCCTTAAATTTCTAGAGTACTTCCTGGGGGCAATTGATTGGACAAAATCCAGAAATCAGTCAGTTGAAACGTGCTGAAACTCTGCCCTTTTATCCTGAGGGTATACCTGTATAAAGTAATAACTTGCCACCACTGTTTCTATTGAGTCACGGCTGAGGAGGTTGGAGAGCACGGCGTTGTCGTTGGCCTTGCACAAACCACAAACCAGAAATGTTTTCCCGTTTGCCCATTTTGTTTACCTTTTTCGGGGTTTTCTTCAATGCCAGGTGAGGCCGACTTTCTATTTGAATTTTATTCTCTCGTATTCTCTCAGTTTGCTTTAGGAAAACTCAATGTTTTTCTCCATGCTCAGGGCTTCCCAGCTTCGAAAGTTTGTCAGTCTCAAAGTTGTGTGATGTTTATATGTTATTTTTAACGATTTAATGGTCCAATGCACGCAGTAAGAATTGGCATTAAGATTGTTACCCTAGCCTGCATAGCAGGCCCAAGAAAGAACGGGCACGCGTGTCTCCCTCTCGCGCCCACTACTTCCAAGCGCCTGCTACGCAGGCTATGTTACCCGGGAGTGTACTCTTCTCTAAAAAAGACGGAGGTGCTTATCGTACTGGTTGAAAACTGTGAAAGGGTATCCATTAAATTTAACTTTGTAATCTCTTTACAAGCTTATGGTATAATCTTACTACCTGAGCTAGTTTACCAATAAAATTTAATTTAAAATTATTTTGAACTGCGCTTTGCGTGCGACCTGACGCACGTTTCGGTTGGGACCTCGTGCACCCAAAACCTTTTTTGAATGATATAAAAACAAGCCTCCCACGCAGACGTTTTTAGGGGTTCGTCACGCGTTCCTGTGGGACAGGAACGCGAGACGAACCCCTAAGAACGTCTGCGTGGGAGGCTAAAAAACAATCCAAAATGTTATATTTCTGTTAGTTGAAAAGTCAATCACTTTGGGTATCTGTGTCTGAGCAAGTTCGAGCAAGTGTTGGCCTAAACCAGAGGTTCTGGGTTCAAATTTCTGTCGAAGTAAAGGGATTTTTTCATTTAACTTGTGTGGTCACCTCAATTTTTTTTTGCCGTGACATAACAGGACAGGAAAACCCTCCTTTGCTGGTAGCTGGAGAAATACAAAAATGATCAGTCACATTCAGCATAAAACCATTTATTTCGAAATAAATCTCATTAAATTTTGTACTGTATTGACATGGCTCAATAATTTTTCAGCGGTCTTCAGGTGGGGAAATCGTCAGTAGGATTATCCATAGAAAATCCTGCCTTGAACTGTAAAGATCTGAAAAACAAAACACCATCAGTTGCCTCAGGAGTCTACTGGATTGACCCGGATGGTGGCTCCCATGGAAACGCTTTCCAGGCCTTCTGCGACGAACAGACAGCTGGAGGGGGCTGGACACTAGTTTGGAGTTACACTTTCACAGATTACTCAAGCTTTACAAGTAGCAAAAACGCAGTCACACCTCGTCCCACCTGGACAGCCAGCGGTGCTGACACTAGAGTATCTACAACAGTTCCACTCAGCGAGACCCACTATGAAGCCATGGACTTTGCTTTGTGGCGCACCATTGGTAACCAGGCCTTAATCAAAAGTAACATCAACAACTGGATCACTTGCAAGGAAGGCACTGGCAGTATAGTGAGACAGAAGGCCGGGTCACTCAGCTGTAAACTGGTTAAACAGGTTTCACAGCAGTGTGCTGGGGTAGTACCAACATCCTTTGCGTTACGGAGCTACGGGCCTTACCTGTCCAGCAGTAGTTACTACTATTACTTTGACGGTAATACAAGGGACAACTTCCCCACGCATGATCCATGTGGTAAAGACCAAGCAAATCAGTTAACAGGTGTAGCTAATCCTCACGGTAACGTTTTTGTTCGTTAAGTAAGTATTTTATTTGGTTCTTGATGTTTTGGTTTTATTGACAAAACATGAACTGTGATTTTATTGAAAGCCTTAAAAACGTTTCTGTAGATCTGTTCATCCTTTTCAATTCCAAGGATGATCAACTTGTTATTTCTCCTTACTTTTTATTGCATTGTCAAGCACGTAGGTGTTATAGAAATTACTAAAGATATCGTAAAAGGAGGCCTAGATGACCAATTAAACTTAGAGAAGTAGTACTTTGGTAATATACAGCGGCCACTGAGTAAGAAGAATAACCATATTGGATTGAATTTCCACAGTATCCCAAAGGTCAGGCGTTCTTTTATCCAAATACCCACCTTTAGTTTTTCGGAGATAAGAGATAAAAAATAATTTGCTAATGAAATTTCAGCAACACTTAAGATGGTTTACAACGTAAAACTAGAGTCTAACGGCTGTAATTAACTTTGTGTTTGTGAATTTCCTTCTCCTTATTGGCAATTTTTCCACACAACCCCTTTTGTACAAGTGTTTCTTAGTTCCGTGTCTGTAGATCAATTATCTCTGGACCAAGATGGTTATTCAAATTAAACTCGTCAATCACTGAAAGTGACATAAACAGTAATAATCAATGATTACGGTGTGCGTTCTAAGTACAGTTTCTCTCTCCTTTGACAAGTAGGTGATGATGTCATTCACCCCTGCAAAATCTTTAGAGATGCCAGGTGTGTGCTAAGACTTGCTTAATTCACATTGTCCTATATAATCTTACTCCAAGTCTGTCATAGAGGTGTGTTCTTCTGCGTCGAACGTAGTAAACATGCTTCTGTTTAATACATGTAGTAATTTGAGGATTTGTGGATTCTATCAGAAGCTGTTCTTATTCTGACCTATATTCTGTTAAGGTCAATTGTACCCTCGCCGGGTCTCGAAAACTGTAGTAAAAATTGTTCACTTAAAAGCTCACAAGTTAACATGGTGTGTAATTTTTGAGTTTTAACTACGCCAGTCGAATCTCTCAGATGCATCATTTGAATCATCATCAGTTTTCCAGTAATAAAACACGCTAATACACCGTCATGGAATCCTCGAACAGTCGTGCAAGTTCGTCTTCTCCTGGGGCCCCGGCTGGGGCAAGTTTTGTTACACGATGTTGAGGCAGTGTTCCTCTGACAAGCGCTGGAATGTCTTCCGGTTTATAACCCAGGGCGGTAAGTCCATTATCTACCCCGGTACTGTGCATGAAATCCCGAAGAGTGTCCGACAGCAATAGCCCGGCATCTGCCAACTTAACGTTATTTGTGTCCGCACCTAAACAAGTCAGAGAGAGAATACTCAACTGTGCACGGATCAACAAAAGAAAAGTATCAAGAGATAAAATTCGTACGTAGTTCGTGAAAATATCCTCTCCATCCACACGTTATACATCCTGTTATGAGTTAAATCTATTTTTAAGAGCTGGTTCAGTTATTTGTTTCTCAAACTAATCTGTGGCTTTATCATTTTATTGTGAAAACTCATAATTTCGTAGTTGTACTCTGGAAAGAAAGGCAGTTGTTGACTAAGATAGACCTTTCAGTAAACAATACAGGGTTAACTATGGGCTCACCAAGGATTTTTGCTGCTTCCAAATGCCTGTCAGGACATGCTGGCGCCGTGAAGCGAAACACCGCAGGTGCTGTAACTACTACAGACAAACCATGTGGCTAATAAACAAAGACNGAGTGGCAGCCCCCCCCGGGCCCCTCCCCTGGATCTGCCACTGCTGAATCGTTTGAACCCAGGAGTCATTTCTAGCCTGCGCGCAGACACTTTAAACCTTGTTCATAGCTATATGCGATACACTATATGCGATACGTGGGCTGGCTGCACCGCAGGCTAGTCATTTCATGAGTAGGTTGCGTTTGATCGTCCGGGTGAACGTGGTCCTGAATAGGACTGTTGTTGTTGATAGTGACTGACGTTTCAACATCCTGTGCGGTAGTCATCTGCAAAAAGATTAAAATTGCCGGCTTTACACGAAGGCAGTTAAGTATATCATAAAGTAGACACTTGGGCCAACACATTTTCTTTGTCTCTCATAAAAAATTATAACTTTTACAGTGTCCTACCACAAGAGGGTGTTCCACTTCATACTGCTTAGCTTTGTAAGACTTGACGAGGCCGGAGATGGGATAGGACATCCCATGACTACAGACGTAAAGGGTGATCGTTAGCAATAACGATGGATAAAGTTTCATCCGAGACATAAACTGCCGGTTAAACAGTAGTGATATGTCAGTATTGTGTGTTTTCTCAAAACGATCAATAGGTTAGCCACAGTAGCACTACTTCCTTACTTAGATTAATAAGTTAAGGAGTTCATTCAAAAACAGTATCATTTCTTCTCGGCGAATTTAGCCAATCCCCACTCTTTCTTCGTCAGGTAAGTCAACCAGACTAACCAGACTGCAAACGAATTGACCAAAAATGCTTCATGTTGTTAAACACAATGTGTAGCGGCTTACCATAAGTGTACACCAGCATTTCCGAACCCTACTCCAGCATAAACACTCGCCAAATGCATATTGGACCGGGCTTCAAGGTCCTCAGAATCCTTGATTGATCTGATGAAATAATTGTTTGTCTTTGAGTAAGTGTTTAGACCCTCGTTAACAGCGAGGGGCGGGGCACAAAGCATGCTCTTGAGTCATGCGGTTGATTAGCTGCTACAGTATCACGCCGGTGAATACATACTTAAGATGCAGACCATAACGTGCACTGTTTGCAAAGGAGTCTCGTTTGACTATGGTTTAACAAGTCAGTAGCATAACATAATACAGCTAGTCTTACCTTGGGATCTAAATAAGACTTCGGGCTCGTTTTGTTATATCCATACAACGAGCTTGTACAGCCCCACGATTCTTTCAAACTTAAACCATCTGTGAGACATACCGTCATGCCGTAACAAGACTTACCTTTTTAAGTATTTTGCTACAATACCAAGTGCATGTTTGGACCAAACATCACTGACCGGGTTACTGCCTTGATACGCTGGGCGCAAATTAGGATTCAGAGGGCGAGGACCACGCATCTGGTAAGGAATGGCCGTGTACGACTCGATAGCGTGGCTAAAAAGGAACAATCGATCATAGGAGAAAACCTGTCAGCCCCTTCACTCACAGAAACCTAGACTAAACCACAGAACTATCCAACATCTTTCTGATCTAAGAAAACTAGCCACTAACGTTCAAGTGCTATCAGTCTTACCATAATACGTCATATCCGCTGACCCTAAGAAAACTAGCCACTAACGTTCAAGTGCTATCAATCTTACCATAATAAGTCATATCCGCTGATCTAAGAAAACTAGCCACTAACGTTCGAGTGCTGTCAGTCTTACCATAATACGTCATATCCGCTGTTAGCTGTCAATCTCTCGGACATGTGCAGGGTATGTAAAGGATCAACAATTCCTAGCAAGGGTCGGATAGCACGGTTTGCAATACCTGTCAAGAAATTTATAAGGAGTTTAGCTTCTTCCAAAATTGAAGTCTCACTTTTAAAGTGCTAGTAGTAGAGTTACTTTCGAATAGCTTTCAAACGAATATGCGTGAAAACAAAAGGTAGCCTCTCAATCCATATAAAAACAAGGTAAAATGTAAGCTAGAATTACCTGTTTTGGTTTTTAGTGGCTCGTAATCAAAGATAGCTACACCAGTAGTCTCACTACCTGAAAATTCATGTATGATTAATTAATAGCTGACAAGTTGCAACCTCGTTCAAGGGTTCTACCCAACCCTACGGAGCGTTGGGATGGGTAGGAGACAACCATGGGATCAAGGTTGGACAAGTTGAATCCAATCAATCAATCAGTCAATGCTAATGTAAAAACCAGAATAAAATGACAGACACACCGAGGGATTATAAGCAGTAAATGGAAGAGATGGTGAGTACTATTAGTAATACAGTAATCTCCTGCTCTCCCACTAAACTAGCACAGCAACCCCACCCTCACAATGCATTTATTAAATAATGAGAGACACAGGAGAAGTTTTCAAAAATAAACATCCACGCTTACCTGTTCCTGCAGTTGTTGGAACTGTGAATTTAAAAAAATATATTTATCAGATCAATATATAATAATTATATATATTATTGCATGTAAGTTCTTTAAATTGTAAATCATCATATTTTACATTATCACTGTTGAAATGCAAGGTTATGTTCCTTGACACTTAACAAGTTCAGTTTCTGGATTTTGGTTCAAATATAAAGATACTTCTGCTTCAGTTTCAAGTCAGTTTCAAGACAAAACAATTCAAAATTTGCCAAATTCACAGTATGTATTCCTTAGAAACTTTCTCATTGTAGAAACTGTGCAATGCAATAAACAGTGTGAAAGGCAAAGTTTTAGCAAAGTTTCCAGTGGTCTGAAAGCAACTGCAAATGCAACTTTCCGTTCAAATAAAAACAAAGACATAACGTTATTTGCGTGCGCTAACTTTCACTTTCAACTAAAACCACTGAAGAAGAGGGAGAACCCACAAAATGTCTGTTTTTTTGCTAAACCTTTGACTTCCTCGCTATAGAACCTTCTCCTTGCCGATGAACAGCAACAAGATAGATCTACTTGCATGTATTAAAAGAAGCATGTCTGCCTCACTTGTAGGAAATGAAACTTCCTCGTTTTGTCTTCAATTTTGGTTTCTACAAAACAAGTCTCAAAAGTGCATTTGGACAGATTTTGAAACTAAAGTGTTCTACAGTACATGATACAAAGGAGTTTCCTTACTTGCTATCAATGGCTTCAGAACTTTGTTAACTGGCATTCCTTTACCAATAGGTTCGTTCACAAAATCTAGGAAATTATTCTCAGGATGGCATAGGTAAAGATTGGCAGCTTTTGCTGTGTCAATCACTGATCCACCGCCCACAGCTAGAAAGGAATCAAACTGACCTCTCTTGGCAAAATCTATAGCATCCTTAAAACTAAGAGAAACAAAAGATTTATTTAGTGAACAGATTTAAACTTGGTAGGGCACTGGCTGTGGGACAAAGAGACAAATTAAGAGCCTACCTCAATCCTTAGTTTAAAGATCCTTCCTATAAACAAATTCTCTGTGTGTCAGAGACCAGTATGGTGTTTCATGCCACATGACTACACAGCTGCATAGCAAAAAAAGGGCCCACTTCTTTTCCATACTAATGCATACTAGGTATTTGTTTAGGGATACATTTTCCTCCAAAAAATTTCTACTTTGCCAGAAGCTAGAGATTTTTCTTCATTAATTTTTAGACCACAAATCTTTCCAAATTTTTTGAAAACCACAAAAATCCATTGTAAAATACGAACCCAACAAAATACAAGCCAAAATTTTCTTACCAGAAAAAATCACTAATCATGAATTTCAAACCCTAAAAAATAGTTTGCCAGTTTCCACTCAATGTAACCCTTGAATAACCCCTGGTAGGGTACCCTTGGGTGTGACAGGGCCAAAAGTAGAACACTGTATTCACCTTGCATCTGTAGGTTCAATCCTGACCTTGTCATAAAGTTCATAATTGACTCCATTTGTTTCCAGAGACTCGATGGCTGCTTGAACAGGAGGTAAATTTACAAGCTATAAATGTCATGATAAAAACTGTTGGTTAATTACACTCTTTTTCTTCTTGGTACTATAAAAAAAATGAAGCGATACAAATTTAACAAGAACTCAGGTGGTTGATGATAATGATTTAAAGCAACAAATAATTTTTATATATATAAATATGAATACATACATTTTTTTAAAAAGTTGAATCTTACCTTTTGATCTGTAATTACACAGACTTTCTTCAGGCCATGATTTTTGAAATCCTTTCAAAAATGAATTTAAAAAAATGGTCATTTCTGAAACAAGATGCCAAGGATATATCCCAAATTACTAATATTATAAATTTAAGGGTAAACATATTACGCACAAACTTATATTAATTTTTATGAAGGACATGGCTTTTGCATCATCAGCTGGATATGGGACCACGATTTTCTACCTTGTTATCCATTGGGCACCACAGAAATGGCTTGTAAATTGAAAGAGAACAACCAGTATTTTCAGGCTCAGCCTGATGGAGTTTAACTGGTCAAATGCAAGGAATCAATAAAAAAGAATAGGAGATGTAGAGCATGGTGGTTAGATCTGCCTTTCATGTGGAGAGGGAACTGTGATTGATACTTGACAAGATGACAAGTGTCCTATAGAACTAATATTCACCTGAATTTGTCCAAATTATGGAATAAACAAAATAAATAAGACTGCTGCCAATTATTTATTGAGCTAATATATCCTGTTAGTTCATCAACTTGTTATTCACTTTTTAAACAGATGCCAGCACAGGCTTACCATGCCAACTTCTCTAGTGACTCCTTCTCCATACCTGATGCTAGAGTTTGCCACCTAATAAAACAATAATTTTTGTTAGCTCTTCAGAAAAAAACTAACTGTAGATAACAATAATTGTTACCTATAGTTATTGCATTGTTATTACAATTATTGCGATTGTATTTCCTAATAAAACGGAGAGTAGCACGAAAGCTTCAAATTATCGATTCGCTTAAGTTAAATTACCTTTGTATCGTTGAAACAATACACTAACCCTTCGGTCTAGAGTCAAAGGACATGACATGCGTTGGCATCCTTTGTGAGCCCACAAATAGTCATAAGAACCCCAATTTTACGGGCGACGCAGATTAATGCATGGAATTCCGTAATGCCTAGGTTGATTCTAAATTTCCTTTGTCTCCTTTCATGAATAATAATTTTTAGGGCTACTAGATAAGGGAAATAAATAATCAACCTACAATCGGCGACAAAATTGTTGAGACATTGTACTTAAATANATTTTACGGGCGACGCAGATTAATGCATGGAATTCCGTAATGCCTAGGTTGATTCTAAATTTCCTTTGTCTCCTTTCATGAATAATAATTTTTAGGGCTACTAGATAAGGGAAATAAATAATCAACCTACAATCGGCGACAAAATTGTTGAGACATTGTACTTAAATAAGGTAATTTTGGAGAACAAAAGAATCCGCACCCCTCCCCTGTCCCCTCCATTCAAAGTTAGGGTGTTTGTTGTTTTCTACAGGTAGCTAGAACAAGGGCACAACATTGCACGGAGGGGATGGGGAAGGAAAGCTATATTTCCTCCCTTTGAAGTTAATAAAACGTAAAAAAGCCCAGTTTTGGGCGAAGTGTCTCAACTCATTTTGTCGCCGATTGTAGGTTAAAAAATTTTACCCAAATTTATTTTTATTTTGACAAAGGCATAGGCCCCAGCTGGCTTGTGGGTCCATTCCTAGCAAGATTATTATATTCTTGACAGGTTCTTTCTAACACTATTTATATGCTACAGGTCAAAATGATTTCAGGTCAAAACATTTTGACCTAACTTGATCTCATTAAGAAGAATTTCCTCTTGGAGACTTGGAGACAAAAGAAATTGAGAATTAATCAAGTTAGATTAGATCAATATTAACCTGGAAATAAATTTGAGTGGTAAAATATATAAACCTACCTTTCAGTTGTAGGGAAATTCAACAACTGAAGCCAATGTGATGCACAAAAGCTAATGCCATTAAATATGACCAACCCTAACATATCACAGTTAGCCTACGTGCAACTAAAAATGAACTGTCTGTACAAACCTCAAAAGCACATTCTGGTTCAATGTGGTCCTTTGCAGTGGAAGATAATCTAGATCCTAAAATTAATATTAAAAAGTACAATATTAATTTTACAGTCTTACATACCATTTTTGGCACAAAAGGTACCCCTTAGTTTTCATTTTGGCAAATCATATCCCTTTCAAATATCTAGTTCAGAAATTTGTATCCCTTTTAATTGCTGTACATGCACTGTCTTTTAAATATGAAAAAAAAAGGGAAACCTGGAAGTTTCGAATTTTCACAGCCATAAAATCCCTCTGTTAGACCTTTTAGGTCCTTTCACAGACCCCAATGACAGATTTCCCTAACCTTTCATATACTTTAATTAGTAAAACCCCTACCCTTTCATTGACCAGAAGCCTGAAAAAGGGTACCCCTTCCCCCGTTCAGGCCATTATGGGGAGTACCCACCCCCACCTCCTCCCCCTCATGCAGGCCCCACCTGCCCCAAGCATGAAATGTGTGGTTAGTTCTGGCTGTTGGAGACGATCACTTTAAATTTTCCAGTGC